ATTCAAAGTGATGAATACCAAGAACCTACAAACCAAGATTACTTTATCCAGCAAAGCTATCATTCAGAATTGAAGGTCAGATAAAGAGCTTCACAGATAAGAAAAAGCTAAAGGAGTTCATCACCACCAAACCAGTATTATATGAAATGCTGAAAGGTATCCTTTAAGAAGAGGAAGAAGAAAAAGGTAAAGATACAAATTATGAACAACAAATATGCATCTATCAACAAGTGAATCTGAAAATCAAGTGAATAAATAATCTGATGAACAGAATAAACTGGTGAATATAATAGAATCAGGGACATAGAAAGGGAGTGGACTGACTATTCTTGGGGCGGGCAAGGGGTGTGGGGGATGCGGGAAGAGACTGGATAAAAATCGTGCACCTATGGATGAGGACAGTGGGTGGGGAGTGAGGGCAGAGGGTGGGGTGGGAACTGGGTGGAGGGGAGTTATGGGGGGAAAAAGAGGAACAAATGTAATAATCTGAATAATAAAGATTTAATTAAAAAAAAGGAGCAAAAAAAAAAAAAAGAAAACTTGGTTTTCAGATGATCCTCAGGAACGGGAAGGGGAGCAGCTGCTGTGGGCATCTGGGGAAAAGATGCTGCGAGGCTGGCCCTCGGAGACAGTCCCCTGGCAGGCCACCCCCCTCCTTTGTCCCTGGCTAAGGAGACCGCTCTCCTCAGGACGGAGACCTGGCCAGTGGGTGGGGGACCGAACCTTTCACTAGGAAAGATGGAGAGGGAGGGAGAGGGGAGGTGGAGACAACAAAGGCGGAGGGCGAGGCAGGGAGAAGAAAAGGGGGGCGAGAAGGACCGGTGTCTCTTGACCGTATAGCTTGGGTTCCTTTCCAAGCTCCAGGTTCCTTTGAATGTGTTTATTTTCCAAAACTGAAGATCATATCCCTCTTCTGGGGGACTAGATGGGGAAAGAGCCAACATTTTTAGCTGAATATAAACACACATGGGAACACACACACACACACATACTTACACACGTCAGTCTTGGATTCAAATCCACTTCATTTGCTCACTGAACATCTCTGAGCCTCAGTCTGACCATCTATAAACTGGGTTAATAAGAAAGGTCACATTTACTGAGCCCCTGCCTTCAGCCAGGCACTGTCCTAGGAGCCACGCGAGTGTTGCTTCATTAATGCTCCCCACCCCCCACACCCCGGTTGTCGCCCCTAGAATCGGAAGACCTGCTGCTGAGAGACGGCAGAGACCCAGGAGCAGGCCCGGAATCTGCCTTGTGCCAGGAGAGCCAGGCTGCCAGCAGCTCCGGGGCCAGCTGTGTGTCTAGGGAGGATGCCCCTTTAGGCACAGGCTTCATCCTCGGCCTCCTGCTTCTCCACTCTGACCCCACCCTTGGCCCCTGACCCAGAGCTTCTAGAGCAGCCCTGGGTTGTGAAGTGGCATCATTTAATCCACACTGTTCTGATGAGGATCCTGAAGCACAAAGCCTGGATCCCAGAGGGTTTAAAATGGCCTGAGAGAGCCTAGATGTAACCCCCAGAGCCTGGCACACAGCAGCCTTCAGTAAATGGCAGCGCCTACACCACTGTCATCCCGGCCCTCGGTCTCCCCAACTGGGGTTGCACCAGCTGCCCCAGGTCTCAGCAGGGGCAGGGGCAGGGGCAGGGGCTGGCTCAGTGCATCCTTCCCACCCAGGTGGCTACAGCCCAACCCAGCGCTGGGGGAGGGAGGAGGCCGGCTGGACCAAAGAGGCCCTTGCCTGTGTGGTGCCACCATCGCTGTGCCCCCTCAATGTCCAGCCGAATTTCCCAGGTGCTGGGTCCTGTCCAGCTCTGGGCAGCCGGCTGGGGAGGATTTACAGCCTCGAGCTCCACTGATTACTGCTGTCTCGGGTGAATGCAGCCGCCGTATTTCCAAAGTGTCACGCATCCCTTTCATGCCTGGCACCTCCTTCCACGTCACAGGGAGGGAAACGGAGTCCCGCAGAGTCTGGGATGTGCTTGAGCTCAGTGAGCGAGGAGTTGGCAGGGTTCGACCCTCTGGACCAACGAAGAGAAAAACTTTAAGGTGAGAAGAGCAAAGTCCCTTTCCCTTCTCCACGTGGGGAGAAGGTGAGAGAACGCCCAGGGCCAGAGGGAGGAGGGGGATGAGCAGAGCGCTGAACCAGGGAGACACCAGGAGGGGCCTGAGCCGCCTCCTCTCTTCCTTTCGACAGGAGGACTGCGTGGCTGAGCTGGCTGCGTGCTCCCAGAGGCTGGCGCACAGCTGCTGCGGCTGGTTTCCCGGGGCTGCTGTGACGAAGTACCTCAAGCGAGGTGACAAACGGGGACATGTATTAGTATTGTCTCAGCTCTGGGAGCCAGAAGCCGGAAATCAAAGTGTCAGCAGGCTGGCTCCTTGCGAGGCCGAGGCGTGAGTGGTCTGGCCTCAGGGGGTCCTGGGCTCGTGGCTGCCCTCTAACTCCTCGCTAACTGACCTCTGTCTTTACATGTCTGCCCTCTGCATGTCCCTCTGTGTCCAGCTCCCCCTTTGGGATTAGGGTGCCGGTCATTTGGGATTAGGGCCCACCCTAATGACCTCATTTTAACTCAATGACCTCTATAGAGACCCTGTTTCCAAACAAGGCCACATTCTAAGTTACTGGGAGTTTGGACGTCAAGATATCTTCTTGGGCCCGACTCAGTGGTTGAGCGTTGACCTATGAACCAGGAGGTCATGGTTTGATTCTCATTCAGGGCACATGCCCAAGTTGCTGGCTCGATCCCTAGTAGGGGGCGTGTAGGAGGCAGCCAATCAATGATTCTCTCTCATCATTGATGTTTCTATCTCTCTCTCCCTCTCCCTTCCTCTCTCAAATCAAATTTTAAAATATTTTGTAAGAAAAGTAAAAAGATACAACTCAACCCCTGGCACACCCAGACCACATCTCCCAGGCTCCCTTGACGCGTAGTGACCCAAGGAACGTGCAGGAAATTGATAGACGTTCCCAAGCTTGGCCCAGGAAGCCTCCCACACAGTCCTCCACACCTTCTCCCCCTCCATCTTCCAACTGGACACGGAAGACCCCCCAAGGCCCCCGGGGACACCTCCACGGCCCCCGGGGACTGTGGAACCACAGGACAGAGGAGCCTGGGTCCTGAGTGACCGCTCAGAGCAGGTTCCTGTAACCTGCGTTGGGCTTCGTCGTGCTGAGCTGCCGAGATTTGGGAGCTGTTTGTCGCTACAGTTAGCTCCCCTCACAAACACAGCTGGCAGGCGCCCCTGTGTCTGTCGGCGGACGGGCTAGTCCTTCTGAGAGGCTTCTGATGGTCCCCTCTTTGTAGCTGCCATGAGGTGAATGGGGCTGCTTCTCTGGGCCCGTCTCCTTCCTTGGTCCCCTCCCCTGGTCCCCTTTCCTCTGATGGTGTAGGAAGGGGCTCGGAGTCTGTGGGACATGGCTCCTGGGCCTGGAGAGCAGACCCTTCCTTCTTACCCACATGGCTCCACCTATGGTCCCCCCTGGCTGCCCCCCCTGGCAGCCTTCTCCTCTGGAAAGGAGGGGGCCGGGGAGGGAGTGGTTACGGCAGAGCCCACATCGTCCCTTCGCAGAGTTACAGGCTGCAGAAGAGGAACCATGCCAACCCTCGCGCCTGGACGTCTGATGAGAAGGACGCGTCACACTGGCTTCTCACCGCGCACTTTCACAAATCCGCTGTGACCAAAATGAGATTTGAAACCAACGCCAGCCCGAGTCTAAAATGAGAGGGGTCATCAGTCCGGCAGCTAAACGCCCACGGCAGGCGGCCTCGTCCTGTCCCAGCTGCTCCCCTCTCACAGCGTCAGCATCTCAGCCCAGCCCGCCACAGGCTTCCCGGCCTGGGAGGAAACGGTCGGCAGAGAAGCCGATGGGCCCCGGGGCCGGGGGTGTGGGCCACCGCCAGGGCTGCGTCACGGTCACTGCAGAGCCTCCTCAGGGTCCCCTAGGGCAAGGAGCAACCAGCAGGCAGGGCGGGCGGGACCAGCAGCAGCCTGACCCTCCTCCGGGAGCTTGACACTCGGACACTCTCAGACAGGACCAGGTCACCCCCTCAGCTCTGCATAAAGGGAATGTGAGAGCCCACCCACTCCCTTCTCCTGAATCATAGGAAACCAACGCCAAACAGACAGTCAGAAAGTGCTAGGCCGCCCCTGCCCATTAACCTACACCATCGCCTGGGTGGTCTGAGTGTGGGCTGGGCAGCCATCCCGGCCCCCAGGCCTCACAGGTCCCACCAGGAGCCGGGCTGAAGCGGCCGCAGCCATCAGATGTCTCCCCCACCTCCCCAGGCTCACGGCCCAGAAGTTCCCGCACCATCTCTGGCCGTTCATTCCTCGGTCCTGTCTGACATGTGGGCCTTAGGGGAATGGGAGTCCCCTCGGTGGCTGTGTTCTGACCGCTCGACCTGCCCGGCGGTGACATTTCCCCGAGGACCGATCCATCGTATCTTCCCCCTCCCAAGGCCAGGTCACGACCAGTTCCTCCCCTCCCGAAGGCCCCGGTTCCTAACGCACTCGGCCACGCTCCGGTTTCTGGCTCATTTGCCAAACGGGATGGCAAACAAGCTGATGAACCTGCTCAGCACCTAATGGCTCAGAAGTCCAGTCCCCAGCGGCCCCGGCGCTCTCAGGGGAACTCCGCCGGTGTGCGCACAGGATTAATTCCAAGCGCGGCCGTTTTCCATAGGAAAGTGGACAAACACCTCTCCACGAGGAACACGGATGACCCGGGGGCTGTGGGAGGCCGGGAGGCCCAGGCGTCCGGGAATGAGAGGCCGTGGGGCTTTGGCGGCACCGCAGGCTGGGCTCTCGGTGGAGGTCAGCTCCAGGGCTCAGACCTTGAAATTCACGGCAGTAAACTGAAGACAAGGAGGGGTCCTTGCCATCAAGCCAGGCTGCCGGGTCCAGGACACGATGATTGAACCCCTGAAGGTCAGTCTCCTTTCTCTGTGCATCGGGGAGTTGGAGCTCACTGCCTTCCTTCTGGGGGTGCCCCTCACAGACCAGGTTGTGAAGATCATGCTCGTGCAAACGCAGACCTAGGTGGGCCAGCGGGCCAGGGTCAAGGCGATGGCAGCCACTGGGGACGACAGCGTTCATGACAATGTGGGTGTCATGTGGCCCGAGGAGGTAGCCCTGCCATCTGGTGGCCTTCACCCTGGCCATGCTCTCCATCTCCTGGCGCAGCGGGACCCCGGGAGGACCGGCTTCGCACGCGGCCACCGTGCTGCCCCGGCGTTGTCTCGGCCCCTGGCCCAGGGGGCCCCTGCAGACCACAGGCCGGGGCCCGCTCTGCCGGCTTTGCCGAGGCCACTTCAGGGTCATGTCCAAGGGCCACAACTCTGGAAAGAGACGTTGCTCGAGTCTCCCACCAGGAAGTCACTGCCCTCCACCAGAGTATCCAGGGGTGGCCACTTTATGGTGCTGTTGCACAAGAAAATTTGGTGAGTCCAGCCGGTGTGGCTCAATGATTGAGCGTCGGCCTATGACCCTGGAGGTCAGGGTTTGATTCCAAGTCAGGGCTCTTGCCCAGGTTGCGGGCTCAATCCCCAGTGTAGGGTGTGCGGGAGGCAGCTGATCAATGATTCCCTCATCATTGATGTTTCTCTCTCTCTCCCTCTCCCTTCCTCTTTGCAATCAATAAAAATTATGTTTTTTTAAAAAAGAAAAGGAAACTCAGTGAATTCAACCTGAAAGCAAACCAACCAACAAAACCTCCGGACAGGTGCTGAGGAGCCAGCGCTGGTACGGGCTCCCTGCTCCCACCTGCGCAGGGGAGGCCTGGCCAGGGCTGGGGAAGGCCTGGGCGCCCACCCTGGGTCTTCCTCTGTGTTCCTTCGTCCCCTAAAGCAGACTGGCTCAGCTCTCCGGTCTCGACTTCCTCGTCTGTCTAGTAACCTCTGCCTTGGCCTGCTCACAGGCTTGTGGTGAAGGTCAAATAAGATTATGATGTGCACACGCTTTGGAAACTACAAAGCGCCATTTAGATATAAGGAAGCACCCCAGTCCCACCCACATCACTCTTGACTCCCCACGCGCCAGGCTTCCCTCCCATCTCTCCCCACAGTCCCCCGCGGCCAACGCAGATGTGCTGTGGTTTAAACTGGGCTGCCGTCCATGTCTGGCCTTGCTCTGGCTGTGCCCTCCCCTTAGCATGCTCTTCTTCCCATTTTCCTTTGGCCAAATCCATTCCACCCTCCCCCCCCCTCCTGCTCAGCCTAAATTCAACTTCCTCCAAGGGTCTGGCGCCATCCTCCCTCAGAAAAGTCAGCTCCCTCCTCTGAGCCCCTGCGTCCAGGGCATCTTAACGCAGTGACCACCCTGCCCCCCACTGTGTGTAGTGGGTGCCCTCCGATGGCACGTGCCGAGGGCAGGGCTCCTCTGGCATCCCACCCCCACATCTCGAGTAGCAGCGAGTTGGAAAGGACCTCAAGAGGTAATCAATGTGACGGGGCCCGGAGGCAGAAGGTGCGTGTGGCCGAGCTCCAGGGAACGGGTCCATAATCATCTCTTGACAGAGAAGCCCAACTTCAAAGCCTAGCAATTTTAGATTATATTTGCATTGGAGGCTTTTAAAATAACGAAACTTTAGATTTATGTTTATGTGAACAGATGTGGAAGGGAAATCAATTTCTCACAGGATTGGCTTATTTGTTTTTATCGCAGCGCTAAATATTAGGCACCGAGTGACAAATTAATACATAAATCGGCGTGGGGATGCAGCACGCACGGCCCGAGACGGGAAGGAGTGGGGAGCCGCGGGTCCCTCCCGCGCGGCCTGTGGCAGGTGTCCGCACGCCTGTCAGCTCCCCGCTGAGGTGCTGGCGGTGAAGGCAGCGCTCGTGGACAGCTCTGAGCGGGCCCAGCCTGCTCCACACGAGAGGAAACCTGCTCATACAGGTTTTGGGGACACGGAGCATGGGAGGCTGGCTCCCAGCTTTTCTGGGACTGCAGGACGGACGTCAGGAGAAAGGGCCGCGGCACCCTGGCCCCCTCCCACCGTGCCCTCTTCTGGGATGGGAGGAAGAGCGTGGAGAAACATCCCAGGCTGGCGCCGGCCATGGTGTCCTCGGCCCGGGGAGCTGCCCATTCCCAGTGGCCACCTGCCACCCCTGGCGCGGCTCCGGAGGAGTCCTGTGCACAAGCAAAGTGTGAGCGGGACCTTCCTCCTGCGGGATCTGCCCCTGGGAGGGCAGGTGGGCATGAGAGGCAAGGGCAGGGCTCATCTGCTCAGCCCCTGGGCCACCTGTCCCACAGCCCAGGGTCCCACGGCCAGGGCCCCGGGACCTGCTAGGGGACACCGCACTGACTGCCGGCCACTGAGGACTGGCTGGGGCTTCCGGAGAAAGCAGACCAGGCAGAAAGAGCAAATCTGCTCTCCAGAAAAATTCCGTAAACATGGAAAAAAACTAAAAGTGACTACTTTCCCCAGGAGAGGAGATGACACATAAAAGACAAAGCTTCTGACGTGGCCTTGCTAATGCCAGGCAGTTGGTTCTCTGCTCCGGGGAGGGAGGGAGGCAGAGGGATGGAGGCAGAGGGAGGGGGGCACAGGGAGGGAGGCAGAGGGAGGGAAAAAGA